GGCACCCTGATCTGAGACACCCAGCCTCTAGAACTGGGAGAAATCACTGTCGTTTAAGCCACCCAGTTGACGGCATTTTGTTAGCGCAGCCCAAAGTAAGACACTACCCCAGTCACGACACCCCCTACATTTCCTTCCAAATGGTTTAGTTATGTTTCTCAGACTAGATCTTTAGTCAACCCGGATTTTATTTTTGGTATGGCGTGAACTAGGGTCTCGTTGTATTTACTTTCCATGTGGATGATCAATTGTGCCGGCGCCATTTGTGGACTGCTCCATCCTCTCCTCGATGTTCTGTTCCAAGCTTATGTTAAGTTTCCATGGGACACGGGTCTTTCGCTGGGTTCCCGTCATCTTCCAGGAGTCGATTTGTACGTCCCCCTCGACAACATTTCATTCTCCTGCTTCCTATGACATTATTGTATGTACACAAACCCTAAACCTTCCATTACTCACTAACCTCTATGTCATTCTCTTTTTTTTTTTTTTTTTTTTTTTTTTTTTTGAGGTGGAGTCTTGCTCCATTGCCCAGGCTGGAATACAGTGGCGCGATCTTGGCTCACAGTAACCTCCGCCTCCCAGATTCAAGTGATTCTCCTGCCTCAACTTCCCAAGTAGCTGGGACTACAGGTGTGCACCACCATACCCAGCTGATTTTTGTATATTTAGTAGAAACAGAGTTTCACCATGTTGGCCAGGCTGGTCTCAAACTGCTGACCTCAGGTGATCCTCCTGCCTTGGCCTCCCAAAGTGCTGGGATTACAGGCATGAGCCACCATGCCCAGCCTCTCTATGTCATTCTTATTCTTTTCATCAGCTATAGTAAGACACACATCTATGGGACTGACTGTCCTGAAAGAAGGTGTTTTTTATACTGAGAGGTTCCTAGCAACAAGAGCCATGGCAGGCCAGGCAGGGAGACATAGGAAGCACCAGAGTTGGCCAAGAAGTAAAGGGAGCTAGGGGTAAATGTGGGCAAGAGCTTTATTTGTGGCATCCAAGAGAAAGGCAAGTCAAGCCAGGGTAAGCAGGCACAGGATAAGTTATTAATAGTTTGAACAATTTCCCTCGGCTCTGGGACATAGGGCTGTCCCTAGTTGTCTGGTTCATGGTCCTGGGTTGATGAGGGCAGATGGACAGTGGCTCGGTGTAAGAGCCCGACGAAGGAAGGTGGTTGGGGGTATGGGCTTTGGATTGGCTGGTTTGCACATGGAAGGTGCACTTGGAGGTGAGTCTCTTACTGTCTCTAGGAACTGGCTAGCCTTGGGATGAGCAGTCTCTCCAGGATCAGCAAGGCCCCAGCTGTCCAAACATCAGGAAATACAGGAAACGAAAAGCCGTGATGAATACACTGAGGGTGCTCTTGAAAGCATCAGCCCCTGGCATGTGTGTGGTTGGCAATGCCGAGCGCTATGGAGAGGGCACCAGCAGTGTCTGCACACTGTTCTTGGGCCCTTGATTACTACATTAATTTTAGAATCAGCCTGTCAGTTTCCACAAAAAAAATTCTATTGGGATTTGTTTCGGAACTGCTTGCATTTACAGATTAGTTTGGTGAGAAGTATGTTTCTAGCATTGAGCCCTCCCATTCATAATATATATGGCATATATTTAGATTTAGTCAATTCTTCCTGGGTAATTTTTATATTTGTCTTAGACCCTTTGTAGTGCTGTAACAGAAAATACCTGAGACTGGGTAATTTACAAACAACAGAGGTTTATTTTCTCAGTTCTGGAGGTCCAAGATCAAGGCTCCAGCAGGTACAGTGTTGAGTGAGGGGCCTGGTCTCTGTTTCCAAGATGGTGCCTTTGAAATGCTGGCTCCTCTGCAGGGGACAAATGCTATGTTCTCATGCAGCAGAAAGAACACATAACCCACCCACACAAGCCCTTTTATAAGGCACTAATCTCATCCATGAGGACTTGCTATTATGACTTAATCACTCCTTAAAGGCATTACCTCTTAATATTATCATCTTGGCAATTAAATTTTTTTTTCTTGGCCTGGGCTGGAGTGCAATGACACGATCTCAGCTCACTGCAACCTCCACCTCCCAGATTCCAGCAATTCTCCTGCCTCAGCCTCCCGAGTAGCTGGGATTACAGGCATCTGCCACCACACCCAACTATTTTTTGTATTTTTAGTATTGACAAGCTTTCACCACGTTGGCCAGCCTGGTCTCGAGCTCCTGACCTCAGGTGATCCACCTGCCTCGGCCTCCCAAAGTGCTGGGATGACAGGTGTGAGCCATGGCGCCCAGCCGGTGATTAAGTTTTAACAAATGAGTTTTGGGAGACACATTCAGTCCATAGCAATACTCTTCATGAAAGGCCTTATGTATATTTCATTAGAAATAATTCTCAGCTTTTTGCCGCTATTGTGAATAGAATCTCTCTTTCTATTGCATTTCCTAATTTGTTATTACTGATGTCTAGGAATGCTAATAGGTCTTGAATTCACTAACAACCTTACAAACTCTCTTAATAATTTATCTGTATATTTTGGATTTTCTGCATAGTCAATCATAGCTATCTGCATATACAGGTAGTTCTGTTTCTTTCTTATTTTAAAATTGTATTTTCTTCATTTATTCCTATTGTAGGTTGAATCACATACATTTCTGATGTTGGGCATCTCATAACCTTAAAAAATATAGCAATTTCATATGTAGTAACCTAACACATTGACTAGGACCTCCAGTGCCATGTTTAATAGAAACAGTGACAGAAGGCACCCTTGTCTACGTCCTAACTTTGATGGAAATTGCTTCTAAAGTTTCATTAAGTATGATAATTGCTACACATCAAGGAAGATACGGCTGGGCGTGGTGTTGCATGCCTATAATCCCAGCACTTTGGAAGGCTGAGGTGGGAAGCTTGCTTGGGCCTGGGAGGTGGCGGTTGCAGTGAGCCAAGATCCTGCCACTCTACTCAGGCCCAGGCAACAGTGAGACCCTGTCTCAAAAAAAAAAATAAAAAAGAAAAAGGAAGCTACCTTGCTAATAGCAACTTATCTGACATTGACTCTGCCCTTGCATCATTGTAATAAAACTTAATTTATCATGATGTATTGTTTGTGTGTGTACACTGCTGTATTCAACTTGGTATTATTTTAAAATTCTGGAATCCATGTTCATAAAAGTTAATAATAGCTAATGTCTATTTGGTTTTCTAATAGACATTAACATTACCCAGAACCAAATAGATATTAACACTACTCAGAACCAAATAGACACTACCCAGAACCAAATAGCTAATGTCTATTTGGTTCTGGCTAGTGTTAAGTTACTTTCCATGAATCATTTCATTTTATCCTAGAGGGCTTATTGTGAAGGTTATTTTCCCCCTATGTAAAGGAAATTAAGGCACAGTGAAGGCAAAACGTTTTCCCTAAGGTCACAGAGAAGATAATTAGTGGCAGAGAAGGTAATTAGTGGCACCAGAAGACAAATCCGGATGGCCTGGCTCCAGAGGCCGTGCACAGCCACTGCTCTGTGCTGTCTGCGACAAGACCCACCGTTCAAATGGTTCTATAATGCACTTTCCTTGTCCATCCTGGTTCTAGTTTGGACCAAGATTATATTATCCTCAATAGATAATTGGCTCTTCTTCTTTTTATTTAAACAAATACATGTCAAACTTCTGTGAAAAGCTATTTCATCCTGTCCCCTTTGCTGGCCTTGTACAGTTCTGCGGTGGCCTCCAGGTTAAGTCATTTTCAAGCTCCCGTCCCGGGGTATTGGTGACGCAGGGACACAGACCACGGGTCAGCAGCAGCCCTGCTCCCAGCATCCTTTCAAGGACTGGGGTTCCCAAGTTCCCAGCTTCTAGCCAAGAGTCTTTGGGTCTTTCTCCCAAAGGACCTGTCTTCGGTTTCCAAAGCCCAGCAGGCCCCAGACTCTTTGGCCTCCAACCACTTTGCATGTCGTTTCTGGTTTTGGTTCATGGAGACAATTACTTATTTTGCAGCCTTGCCATGTCATTTTAATTTACTTTCTGTATCTGGCTCATTACTGCTGCAGATTGGGGAAGAGAGGATGCCCTCAAACCTTACTCTCCAAACCGTCCCAAAGGGGAAGTCCGTCCCATTCCAACAGTGTTGTTGTTTAGTTGTTGTTTTTAAAGACGGTGTGTCAATATGGCAGATTAGAGCAGAATGACATGGGGGGAGCGGTATGAAAGCGAGACTGGGAGTCCTGGAGAGAAGGGGCAAAGCTGCCTTTTTTTTTTTTCACTTTTTTTTTTTTTTTTCCTAAAGACGAGGTTTCACCATGTTAGTCAGGCTGGTCTTGAACTCCCGACCTCAGGTGATCCGCCCGCCTTGGCCTCCAAAGTGCTTGGATTACGAGCAGGAGCCACCACGCCCCGCCAAAGCTGCCTTTTAGCCGGTCTCTCACTCAGAGGGCTCAGAGGAAGGCCCTTCCTGCCCGGGCCTCCAGTCGTCAGACTGGCCTGTTAGGGCCCACGCGGGGGAGCAGGAAGGAGGACCGAACTCAGAGGGAGGTGGAGAGGCTGCCAGAGGCCCTTTTGCATCCAGAATTGAGGCAGCAGCCCCAGCCAGGTCCGGAGGTGGGGGCCGTCCCTCCAGGGAATGGTACTGATTCCAAAGGCGCGGCAGGGACACCCTGGCTGGGACAGGGATGTTCCCCTGAGTCGCCCGAGCGGCCTCTGTCGAGCCCGGGTTGGAAGGCCCAGCGGGGAGGCCGCGGCCGGCCCACTCCCGCCCGTCCCCGCCCTTGAACTCTGCTCCCTCCGCAGCCGCCAAGCTGGGTGAGGGCCCGGAGCTATTCGCCCTCCCAGATGCCACTCAGTTTTCCTGGGTGCCCTCCCCGCTAGGTCTGCAGAGAGCAGCGCTCCCTCCCGGCGCACCCGGCAGTGCCCTTTCCGTCAGCAAACCCCGTGAGCGAGAACTTGGGACGAGTCACTGGCCTCCACGCCTCGCGGACGTGAGGGAGGACCTCCCCGCCCCGCACGTGCCAAACCTCCCCGCCCGAGCACGTGCTCTCCCCCCGCGGGAGCGGCATCCGGCGCTGGCGCCCGCCGCCCTGGAGCCTCCCGGCTGTGCCAGGGGCGCTGTCCCGCCCGCCCGCCTGCCTTGGGGAAGGTCGGGAGGCCCGAGGAGATCGGGACCCAGGCGGCCGGCGGGGTCCGGACCACCCGCGGGGTCGGAGCGCGGCGGCGGCCCGGGTTCTGCCCCCGGTGGGCGGGGCTCGGCGGGGCTCTCCGCGGGGTCCTAGCGAGCGCCGCCGCGCAGCCAACCGCGGGGACCCGGAGGCCACCCGACCGCGCGCGCTGCTCCCGGGTGCCCTGCGACCCGTCGGCGGAGCTCGCGGCGGCTGCCACCCGCCCCGCCGGCCATGAGGCGCGCGCCTTCCCTGGTCCTTTTCCTCCTGGTCGCCCTTCGCGGGCGCGGTGAGTTCTTTTCGGGAAGGGAGGGAGGGGCGCCCGGGTTGGGCTGAATGGGGCTGGACTGGCCACAGGTGGAAGGGAGGGTGCCCGGCGCCCGGGGGAGCGGCCCGAGGCTAGGCTGTCCCGGCCGGGTGGGGGCGTGGGCAGGGCTGAGCCCACTCGCCGAGGCGGCGGGGGTCCGCCGGGCTTGGAGTGGGGGCCGACTCTTCCCGGAGCCGCTGCGAGCGCCGGGGCCACCCTGCGGGGCGAGTGTCTGCGGGCTGGGCGGGGGGGCAGGAAGCCCGGGCCATCGCCCGCGGTCTGGGAGGCTGGTAGTGCGCCAGCTCCCGCTCCCAACAGGGCCGAGGCTCCTTTTTTGCCTAAGAGGTGACTTTCTTGAAGCGTGGGCTGGGCGCAGAGGGGCCGGCCACCGGGACAGGGTGGGCACTCATCTGCTCCTCAGCCTGAGAGAGAAGTCTCCTCCAACACAGCTGTGGTGCAGACGGGGAAACCGGGCCGATAGGGAAGGCTTAAATCACCAGCCCTGGAATGCTTTGTGCTTTGGGGCGCATCTCCCAGGAAACACGTTTTATGGCACCACAGCCTCTGGTCACCCATCCGAGATGTGCCGGGCCTGGGCAGCCAGCTGGACTGAGGCCCAGACTGCTGAAATTGGACCTAACACTCAGGAAGGTGACACAGTCCTTCTCCTGGTAGACTGCCTTCCCTGGGCCTCAGTTTCCCCACCTGAATTCCAAGGGCCCTTCTAGCTCCTACACTCACCCCGGCTTTTCCTCCAAGCCCCAGTCAGCCTAGAAGACCAGGGCTACCTCTTCCTTGCATAGAGACCCACCACAGGGGAGGCAGGAGGTAGGAGTCAGGGAACATACAAGGGGCTGATAATCTGCGAGGAGGCCATAGCTGGAATTCTAAACCGTGTGAGCGTGTGTGCAGTTTGGAAGGCATATCCAATCTAAACATTTATACTGAAACAACGGAAAGATATACCCATCATTTTGGAATACAAACTACAGAAGGTACAGAGACTACAAAATACAAACTACTCTAGGGAGGTGGGCTCTCATCTAAGATGGTGGCTCCAGGCCGTGTGTGTGTTGTGGCCGCAGGCTGTGTGTGAACTGTGGCTGCAGGCGGTGTGTGTGTTGTGGCTCCAGGTGGTGTGTGTGTGTTGTGGCCACAGGCCATGTGTGTGCTGTGGCTCCAGGCAGTGTGTGCGTTGTGGCTGCATTCAGTGTTTGTACTGTGGCTCCAGGCAGCGTGTGTGTTGTGGCCAAAGGCCACCGGTGTGTGTGTTGTGGCCAAAGGCGGTGTGTGTGTTGTGGCCAAAGGCAGTGTGTGTGCTGTGGCCAAAGGCGGTGTGTGTGCTGTGGCTGCAGGCCGTGTGTGTGTTGTGGCTCCAGGCAGTGAGTGTGTTGTGGTTGCATGCAGTGTTTGTACTGTGGCTGCAGGCAGTGTGTGTATTATGGCTCTGCCACTACTTACTGGGTGACCCTGTGCCATTTCTTTCACCATCCTGGGCCTCAGTTTCCCCATCTGTTCTGTGGAGATAATATGGCCTGCCTACTACATATTTGGAGATGTGGATGTGTGTGGGGCAGTTGCAGTGTTTCTTAGGTGCGGTCCTGGGGCAGCCTGCATCACCCCATACAGATTTCTGGGTCCCACCCTAGGCTCACAGGATCAGAATCTCTGGGAATAAAGCCGAGGAATTTACATTTATACAAGCATCCAGGTGATTAATACACATGATGGAAGAAGCACTAATAGTATGTGGTGTGCTCTTTATAAAAGGTAACTTCTCTGCTTAAAAAACATTTCATAGCTGCCTTTTAATAAATATCATGTTTCCTTCCTCAGTTAACCACATACACCCAAGTTGAAAGATCACTCTGCCTTTCCAGATGCAGAATCTAATCTTTCCCATAAGAGTCAAACTGTTGCTTTCTGTAGTTTATATCCAAAAACAAAGGGCGTATCTTTCCATCTTTTCAAAATAAATATTTAGATTGGATATGCTTTTCAAACTGGATACACACTCACACAGTTTAGAATTCCAGCTGTGGCTTCCTCTCTTGTTAGCCCCTTTTTCGTGGGGAACAGTTTTTCTCATAAAGGCCTGGAAGACAGAACCCTGGGCAGAGGCTGGTGGGGCCCCCTCCACATCGGAACCATTGGATCATGACTGGCCCCTAGTGGCGGCTTCTCTGTTTAACTGTCAGCCCCAGGGCTGCGATGGGAGCCCCCAACTGCGCCGCAGAAGCGTCCGGGGATCCAGGGCCACCCCTGCCCTCTGAGGGTGAAAGGCCTGTTCCTTGTCTTCTGAGCCCAGCTGGTCTCACAGGCATTCAGTAGACGGGGAAGTCGAGGCATGTGCTGGGCTGGGCTGGGCTCTCCTGCCCCCCATTTTGGGGGGTAATGGGAATGCATTCCAACCCCCAGTATCCCTGCTGCTTATTCGAACCCCTCAACCCCACCCGCATACACTCACAAGTACAAACACTGGCGCAGTGACGGGCACACACTGCCCGGGACAGCAGCGTTTCCAGCCTCTGCAGGGCAGTCGCCTTACAGGGAAGTTAGTGAGGCACTGAAGAAGACTCAGGGCTCAGGGAAGACCTCTGTCAGGAAGAGGCTGCTAGGCCTGGTCTGCCTCTGACTTGCTGGGGGCACTTGAGAAAGTTTCTTCCCCTCTCTGGTCTCAGCTTCCCCAGCTGAGAAACGGAGGGTTCGGCCAGATGGTCTAAGGTTCTGGGCACCTCTAACTCAAGCCCACGGCCGGTGGTCAAGATGGGGGAGTCCCTCTGGATCAGCTGAATGCCTGAGAGGCAGGACAGGCCCAAAGGTGAGCCCCCTGAGCACATCGGATGGGCTCGGAGCTGGAGCGGGAGCCCCACAGCCTGCACAACAGCCCTGGAATCGGGAACCCGGTCGGGCCAGCCTGGTGGGACTTCAGAGATGTGGGATCCAGCCTTCCCGAGTATTGCAGAGCTGGGGCTGGGAGCTGCAGATCTGGCCCCAGAGCTGCCTCAGACATGCAGAACGGGCTTGGGCAAGACACACCCCTCTCTGTGAAATCAGTCAGTCCACACAGACACGCTAAAGAAGGGCTGTGGGAGGGAGCCGGCTCTAGCCTGGGGCTACGGACTGGCTTCCCTGGTACTCAAGCAGCTGGCCTCTGGGAATGGGGTCCTGGGTATGAGAGGCAGGGCTCAGAATCTAGGCCAAGCATCCGTAGGACCTCCCCCCGACACCCCGGAGAGCCCAGGGCAGTTGTGGGGAGGGGCAGCAGGCAGCAGGTGCACAAGGAGCATCTTTCACAAGGCACTAAATATTGCATCTGCTCCAAATAGGCAGCGAGTTGGAAAGTGGATGGAGTAGGCAGGGTGGCGGCCGCTCCCCACGGCCAGGAGTCCAGCCCAGCACCCACCCAAGTCCACTTCAGGCCTGCCCATTGGGTTGATCTGTGTTCTGGGCCCTCTGGCCCTACTCACAGAGGGAGGGGTTTGGTACAACGAGGTGAACTGGCCCTTGCAAAAGGATGTCATCAACGCCTGAGCCAGGCGAGCCAGGCACCCCCACCCCCACCTCTCCAGCCCCCGTGTTCCCTGATCTTCCCACCTGCTCCCCGGCCCCAGCACTGTTTCCTGCTCCCAGGCTTGTCTGCTCAGATGTCCTTGATTCTCCTCTGAGACTCCCTTTCTCCAAGCTGCCTCCTCTCTGCTTTACACATTCTCCCTGAAGACACCAGAGCACACAAGCTCAAGTCCCTGAACCTGGCCTTCACTCCCAGACACGTTAGGCACATGACATAAAGACCCAAATGCCACTTGGCAAAAGATGAGGGCTATGTAAAGGGGCGGCTCTGAGGCTGTGGAAGCTCAGGGGGGCTCCCTGCAGGAGGCTGCATTTAGGTTGGGTCGTGAATGTGGCTCTGAGCTGAGACCTCTCCTCGAAGCTCCAGACCAGGAGCCAGCTCCCAGCTAGACCCTTCATTTGGTGTCTCAGAGGGACCTTGAACTCTTAGGTCTAAGTCTGAACCCCGAAAATCCCCCCCATCTCAGCTCTGTTTCTTTGTAGGAAAAGCACCGCCTCATACCCAGTTCTGCACCCAAACCCATATTGGAGTAGCAGGGCTGCTCCCCGGCAGGAACCGTTTCTGGTTTTGCTTGCTGTTATCCTCAACATGTAGCAAAGTCCCTGGCATAAGACAGACCCTCAGATAATTTATAACTGGTGGGCTGGGGGCAATCCTGGCAAAAGAAAGAGTGTGCTCAAAGAAGTCAGACAAGCTGGGTGTGGTGGGACTACACCTGTAGTCCCAGCCACTAAGGAGGCTGAAGTGGGAGGACGCTTTGAGTCCAGGAGAAATCGCTTGAAACCAGCCTGGACAACTTAGCCAGACCCCCCACCCCGGTCTCTTAAAAAAAAAAAAAAAAAAAGGAAGCTAGACAGCAAAGGTCACGGGGGAAAGGCAAACAGTAGGCTATGGCCAGAAGAGGAGTGTCTGAGTGTCTGCGTATCTGGGGTAGAGATAGAGAGCTGGCAGAAAATCAGGTTGAGAAAGGCAAGCCAGGGCCTGCAGGGAAAGGGCCTTGAATGCCAAGCCAAAACACTTGATTTTTAACTCCACCGACAGCTCGGAGAATTGTGGGTAGGGAAGGGCCCTAGGCCAGTTTGCTGTAGAAAGACCACTCTGGCACTGTATGGTACATAAATGGCAGGGGCAGAGTAGGGGCTTGGAGAGGCCAGAAGGAGGGCGGGGGTGAGGAGGAGGGGACATGGCTTGGAAAGTGAGGCAGGACCCAGGCCGGGCCCGGCGGCTCACGCCTGGAATCCTGGCACTTTGAGAGGCCGAAGCGGGTGGATCACTCGAGGTCAGGAGTTCGAGATCAGCCTGGCCAATACGGCGAAACCCCCGTCTCTATGAAAAATACAAAAATTAGCTGGGTGTGGTGGCGCAGGCCTGTAATCCCAGCTACTCTGGAGGCTGAGGCAGGAGAACAGCTTGAACCCGGGTGGCGGAGGTTGCAGTGAGCCGAGGTCACGCCACTGCATTCCAGCCTGGGCCACAGAGTGAGACTCTGTCAAAAAAAAAAAAAAAAAAAAAAAAGACAGGACTAGGTGGCCGCTTGGATGAACCAAGGGAGAGGTCAAGAAAAGACACCTGGTTTTTGTACCAGACGTGTAGAGTGCGGGATGCCGTTCATTGCTGGAGGGAAGAGGAGGAGGAAGAGGTCTGGCATGGGGAGGAGACAGCCGAGCTCTGTCCCCAAGGACAGGCAGGCCTGCCAGCACCTTCACTGCTTCAGCCGGCCCTAAGGGCACCTGTGCTCCCTCTCAGCTGTCCCCTTCGCTGCCACAGGCTGCAGTGGGGTCAGGCTGCACCAGGGCCCGGCCGGTCTGACTGTGTGTGTTTTCCCAGGGGACTGCCGCGTGGCCAATGCCGAGGAGAAGCTGATCGACGACCTTCTGAACAAAACCCGTTACAACTACCTGATCCGCCCAGCCTCCAGCTCCTCACAGCTCATCTCCATCAAGCTGCAGCTCTCCCTGGCCCAGCTCATCAGCGTGGTACGTGCAGAGGGGAGCCGTGGCTCAGGCTCAGGCGGACAGGCTGCTCATGCCCAAGCCCTAAGCAATCACTGGCCAGAGAAATGAAATGACTGGAGTTGACTTAGACTCAGTGATCCATGTCAGGGAGGCTGCAGAAGGGTCCACGAAGTTCATAGGTGTCCAATATTTAATGAAGTCATGGTTTTGTTATAACGAAGAAACGAGAGTGGGAGCGGGAGGCCTCTGGGTAGGCAGCCAGTGGGCCTGCCATAGACCCTGCTCAGCTGGGTCTCCAGCATAACCATAAGCCTCTCCTCAGTGCCCTCACAGCCCCACCCTGTTCTCTCCCGCAGCTTGCTTAACAGGTGACCTTAGGCCGGGTGCGGTGGCTCAAGCCTGTAATCCCAGCACTTTGGGAGGCCGAGGCGGGTGGATCACGAGGTCAAGAGATCAAGACCATCCTGGTCAACATGGTGAAACCCCGTCTCTACTAAAAATACAAAAAATTAGCTGGGCATGGTGGCACGTGCCTGTAATCCCAGCTACTCAGGAGGCTGAGGCAGGAGAATTGCCTGAACCCAGGAGGTGGAGGTTGCAGTGAGCCGAGATCGCACCATTGCACTCCAGCCTGGGTAACAAGAGCGAAACTCCGTCTCAAAAAAAAAAAAAAAAAAAAAAAACAGGTGACCTTGCTCCCTTCTTGTTGGGGGAAATAAGAACCAGACTCAGGAAACTGATGGGTACAGAGGCCCAGCTGTGGGGGCAGGACCAGAGGCAGTGCAGCCCCGATTGAGCCAGGCAGGTGGGGGCCTGGACGGTGGGCGTGGCTGTTGCAGGCATGGAAAGGAGGCATGGATGGTGGCATTCACAGGGACCATTGTCATGTTCTTCACTTGTGGGTGTGGGGCAGAGGGTGGGGGTGCTGAGGGAGGAAGTGCCTGGGAATCTCTCTTCTCTCTGCTACCTCTGAGTGGGAGATGCCAGAGAGAACCGTGGTCCATTGTAAACCTTCCCACATCCCGACCCACTGGGTTAGAACCCCATTCCTGGACGCAGCTCTGGGGGGACAGTCACAAGAGGAGAGTGCACGGCGCCTCGTCCAGCCAGGGGAAGGATATCACCAAGGGGCAGACCCTCCTCTGGCCAGGTGGCTGCCTTCTGAAATGCCAGAATCTCTGTAGCATGGCTGGCCCCCACACACAGGTAGGTTCGACCCAGCCTGTCGAACCTACAGTCCTCAAGAAGACTTTGGCCAAATTAATGACTGGCCCCATCTCCTGGGAGGATGCACAGACCCAGGATGGGGAGGGCCGGAGAGCCATGTGCTCTCTGCCCCTCCCCCTCCCCAGTCAAACCGGAAGGAAGGAGAGAGGGCTTTCAGCCAGACTTGCCCAGGCTGGTGTCAGTGTTATTGTCCCGCCCAGGGCTTCTTGCTTAACGGGGCGAGCCCAGCTGCTGCCCCTAGTGAGGGTGAAGGAGCAGGAGGCTCTGCCGCACTTCCAAGATCAGGCTGGCTGGTCAGATCTTCTCTGCAGGCCCCATAGGGTGATAGAGGCTACCAGAAGCGGGAGGGGATGCAGCCGCCAGCCCTCACCCGTGCGAGCCATATTTCTGAAGGCTTGTGTATACAGCAAATACTAGGTTGTAGGCTGCCAGGACAGGAGAGGGTATTGTCCTCCTATTTTTCAGGATTTCTTTCTTTCTTTCTCTTTCTTTCTTTAAGGAGGGAGGGTTACAGATACGAGCAGTTTAAAGATGGGACTTTTTAGGGAGCAGGTAGGGATTTAGTGCTGGGCAAGGCAAGCAGGCTTGTCAGAGCACCCCTCTTGTGATCGACTCCTGAGTCTGGCAAGCCAGGCACTCCCTTGCCAGCATCCCCGCCCCCACCTCTCTAGCCCCCGTTATTCCCTGACCCTCCCACCTGCCCCCTGCCCCAGCGCTGTCTCCTCTGCTCACTCTCCTCTCTTCCTGCTCAGGGGCTTGCCTGTTACGATGTCCTTGACCCTCCTCTGAGTCTCCCTCTATCCAAGCCATCTCCCCTACACCTGACCAGTCACCTGGAAGACACCAGAGAACACAAGCTCAAGTCCCTGAACCTCACCTTTACTCCCAGACCTGTGAGGGAGAGGATACAAAGTCCCAAACACCGCTGGGAAAGAGACTGGGGGAATGCAGGGAGGGAAATGTGAAGCTGTGGAAGCTCAGGGTGTAGGTTTAGATGCAAATATAGCCGGGTGCAGTGGCTCACGCTGTAATCCCGGCACTTTGGGAGGCTGAGGTGGGCGGATCATGAGGTCAGGAGATAGAGACCAGCCTGAAAAACAAAGTGAAACCCTGTCTCTAGTAAAAAAAAAAAAATTAGCTGGGCATGGTGGCACGTGCCTGTAATCCCAGCTACCCAGGAGGCTGAGGCAGGAGAATCGCTTGAACCCAGGAGGCGGAGGTTGCAGTGAGTCAAGATTGCACCATTGCACCCCAGCCTGGGCGACAGAGTGAGACTCCATCTTAAAAATAAATAAATAAATAAATAAAATATCATCACTACATAAAGTGTAAATGGCCTAAATACTCTAATCAAAATGAGACAATTGGCATGCATCCTTCTTCTCCCTTCTCTCTCCCCACCAACAGCCTGGAATGTGGAATTTATGGTTATAGCTCCAATAGTTATTTTGGTCCGTTCTTTTGAGGGCCGCACTCCAGGTATGGAGGAGAAGAAAGTTGGAAAGGATCTGGGTTCCTACCAGAACTTTGTAGAGCAGAACTACCATGTATGTCTAAAGTGTTAACATGAGAGGGACATGACTCTCTACTTTATTTAAGTCCGTGTTACGCTGGATCACTGTTACTGGCAGCTGAACCTTATCTTACTGATACTCTTACCTAGTTGACTCCTAAACTGAGATCAGTATGCTGGAAGTTATCTTGATGAAGAGGAGGCAGCAAAAATAGTACAGACTGAGACCACAAGACACATCCAAAACACTAAAAGGCCAGGGGGCTGCAGGACAGAACAAAGGGGCACGGGGAGGTGAAGTGAGGCTGGGAAACCTGGCAAGGCCCTGCAGACCCTGTGAAGGAGTGAGATCCTTATTCTGTAAGTGAAGGAAGCCAAGGAAGTGATCTAAACAGGGATAAAAATGACAGGGATTTTGGAAGGTTTATTCTGGCTGCATAGGAACAATAGATGCGGGTGTACGGTGATGGTGGTGGTGTACAGAATGAACATGGACCAGTTAGGAGAGTGTTACAGGGTCTAGGTGATGCGTGGATGATGTGGCCTGGAATGATGGTAGGATTCATGTGTTTATACAGAAAATATTTATGGAGTATCCAACATGTCACATACTCTTCTAGCTGCCTCATTTCCTCATAGCCATTAGATTCTAGTGGGAGCTGGCAGGATAATACACAGATGGATAGATGGTGTTTAGAGGTGATAGATGCTATGAAACAAAATGAGACTGGGTGAGGTGGCTCGCACCTGTAAATGCCAACACTTTGGGAGGCTGAGGTGAGTGGATCAGTTCAGCTCAGGAGTTTGAGACCAGCCTGGGCATCGTGATGAAACCCCTTCTCTACAAAAAAATTTTAAAAATTAAACCAGGTATGGTGGCCTGTGCCTGTGGTCCCAGCTTCTCAGGAGGCTGAGGTGGGAGGACCACTGGAAGGTAGAGGTTTCAGTGAGCAAAGATCACGTCCACTGCCCTCCAGCCTGGGCGGCAGAGTGAGACCCTGTCTCAAGAAAATAAACAAACAAAAAATTACAATAAAGAAAAATAAGGCAGGGCAGGGACAGAGGGGCTATTTTATGCAGGTCAGAGATTTCTGTGATGATAGGATGACATTTCTGATAGCAGAAGAATGTGTGGAAGATCCTGGTGGTTTTCCAGGAAAGGGAACAGTGTGTGCCGGAGCCGAGAGGCAGCGTGGTGGAAGTGGGATGAGCAAATGGCAGCGTTGAGATAAGAGGTCAGGGAGCTGATGGGGTGAGGGGTGGTGGGGAGGAAGGTCACTAGGGCCTTGTAGACTCTAAGGAGAACTTTGGCTTTTCCTTTGGATGAGATGAGGTTAGCAGAGCAGCTGGTCAAAGGCATTGAGATTTAAGGGGATCACCCTGGCTTCATGTAGAGGAGACCAAAGGCAGGCCAGGACAGAGCAGGAAGACCAGGGACGGGGCCACGGCAGTGGTCCAGGTGACAGAGGATGGTGGCGGCGGAGAGATGCAGACACATATGAGATGCTTTAGGAGATGTAATTTACAAGACTTATCGATAGATCGGAGAGCAGAGTGTTCAGAGACAACGTCCACGTTTCTGGCTGGTGGAACCGGATGGTTAGGGGTGCCATTCACTGAGACAACGAAGCCAGAGGAGGACCAGGTTTTGGGAAGATCATGAGCTTTGTCTCAGACACGCTGGGTGTGACATATCTCTGAGCCATCCAAGAGATGTTTGGCCAACTGTTGGTCACAAGGGCCTGGAGCTCACAGCCATTTGCACAATCAAGTGAAATCCGTTTGTAAGGCTCCTTCTTCCTGGTGACCTGACAGCCCTGTTTCCTTCCCCAGAATGAGCGAGAGCAGATCATGACCACCAATGTCTGGCTGAAACAGGTAAGTGCCCTGCAGGGCCCCTGGCCCGAGAGATGTCTTCTCTAGGGCTGCCCTTTGGTGGCAGCGGATCTGCAAGTGGCAGGGCCTTGCCTGTCTGTCCAGGAATGGACCGACTACCGCCTGACCTGGAACAGCTCCCGCTATGAGGGCGTGAACATCCTGAGGATCCCCGCAAAGCGTCTCTGGTTGCCCGACATCGTGCTTTATAACAAGTGAGTGGCGGGGTTGGCTGAGGCCTGGTGACAGCCAGGCCAGGGCAGCAGGCCCAGCCCTAGGAGTCATCCAGGCCTGAGTCCAACTGCGGGCCCCATCTGTGCTTTACCCAGCCTTCCAGGCCATCAAGCTAAAAGAGAAACAGAGGTGAGCAGAGGCGGAGCCCTCAGTTACAGATGGGGAGTCCGAGGCTGGCGGGGAGGGGCCTTGTGTAATTCACGGAAGCACAGCGGGACCACAGCAGTGACCTGACCTCGAGCCCAGCACCCTTCGTGTGCTGCATACTATCCTTTTGAGCCTCTGTTGCTTTGCCAGTGTTGGGTGTCGGCAGCACTGACTATGCATAAATATTTTAGGCAGGTGGAGGAAGCCAAAGAGAGTCTCCCTGACTTACGATTACACCAGCAGTAGCGTGAAATGGCTAAGAGCGTGTGGTCTGGCCGGGTGCGGTGGCTCATGCCTATAATCCCAGTACTTTGGGAGGCTGAGGTGGGTGGATCACGAGGTCAGGAGTTTGAGACCAGCCTGGCCGGTATGGTGAAACCCCATCTCTACTAAAAATACAAAAATTAGCCAGATGTAGTGGTGCATGTCTGTAAGTCCCAGCTACTCAGGAGGCTGAGGCAGGAGAACTGCTTGAACCTGGGAGGCGGAGGTTGCAGTGAGCCAAGATCGCGCCACTGCACTCCTGCCTGGCGGCAGAGCGAGACTCTGTCTCAAAAAAAGAAAAAGTGCTGTCTGGGGACAGACAGACCTGAGTTCAAACCCCAACTGTCCTGCTTACACATTTTCTGACCTTGAAGAAGTCATTTAACCTCTCTGGGTCCTTGGCTTTCCCAACTGTAGAGTGGGGATAATAATAAAACCTACCTCACTGGGCTACTGAGAGGCTTAAATGAGCTATTCCATGGGAAGCCGTGAGAGTGTCTGATGGTAGGGCTGTCTCCACCACATAGTTGCCAACAAAGGCAGGCCCCTTTCCATGAGGGCCCGGGGGATTGGAAGGGTGACCAGTGGGAATTCCCAGAGGGCTCTTCAGTGAGTTCTGCGGCCAGGCCAGGCCTCGTGTGTGGGTTTCACGATGCTGTCCACGCCCTGCCCCTGCCCAGCGCCGACGGGACCTACGAGGTGTCTGTCTACACCAACGTGATAGTCCGGTCCAACGGCAGCGTCCTGTGGCTGCCCCCTGCCATCTACAAGAGCGCCTGCAAGATTGAGGTGAAGCACTTCCCCTTCGACCGGCAGAATTGCACCCTCAAGTTCCGCTCCTGGACCTACGACCACACGGAGATAGACATGGTCCTCACGTCGCCCACAGCCAGCATGGATGACTTTACTCCCAGTGGCGAGTGGGACATAGTGGCCCTCCCGGGGCGAAGGACAGTGAACCCACAGGACCCCAGCTACGTGGACGTGACTTACGACTTCATCATCAAGCGCAAGCCGCTGTTCTACACCATCAACCTCATCATCCCCTGCGTGCTCATCACCTCGCTGGCCATCCTGGTCTTCTACCTGCCGTCCGACTGCGGCGAGAAGATGACGCTGTGCATCTCCGTGCTGCTGGCGCTCACCGTCTTCCTGCTGCTCATCTCCAAGATCGTGCCGCCCACCTCCCTCGACGTGCCGCTCATCGGGAAGTACCTCATGTTCACCATGGTGCTGGTCACCTTCTCCATCGTCACCTAGCGTCTGTGTGCTCAACGTGCACCACCGCTCGCCCAGCACCCACACCATGGCACCCTGGGTCCAGCGCTGCTTCCTGCACAAGCTGCCCACCTTCCTCTTCATGAAGCGCCCTGGCCCCAACAGCAGCCCAGGCAGAGCCCTCCCGCCCAGCAAGTCACGCCTGACCAAGCCCGAGGCCGCCGCCACCTCCGCCAGCCCCTCCAACCTCTGTGGGAACTCCATGTACTTCGTGAACCCTGCCTCTGCAGCTCCCAAGTCTCCCGCCGGCTCCACCCCGGTGGGTACCCCCAGGGACTTCCGCCTGCGGTCCTCTGGGAGGTTCCAGCAGGATGTGCAGGAGGCACTAGAAGGCGTCAGCTTCATCGCCCAGCACATGCAGAATGACGATGAAGACCAGAGTGTAAGTTGCTCACCAGCCCCGGCCCACCTGCCCAACAGAAAGGCTCCGATAGTAACACCAGTTTCCACTTCCTGCAGTAACTCACAGGGGACGAGGACTCTCAAACTCTGAATAAGGAATCCAAAATGGAAATTAGCTTTCATTGAGTATTATAGCCTCATGCATCCAGGGAGAGGAAGGAAGTGCCAGTGATTTTTTGGTTTGTTTTAGGTGTCCCAGGAGCAAACCCTCAGATGGGGACTTGCAGGCAGGTGGCTTATTTGAGATGTGATCCCCGGAAGCACCGTGAGGAAGGAGGGAATGTGAGGCAGGGAAAGCAGAAAAGCCAGAATAGGAGATGAATGAGCAGGATACTGCTGTGGGCACCCAGGACTCAGTACCCTTGCAGACGCTCTGATGACCCCTGGGAACAAGCCTCAGAATCACCCCTGGAGGGAGGCTGAGGCATTTACCCACCAGCCCCCATTCCGTAAGGACACTAATTCCCCTGCACTTCCAGGTAATGCCAGCCTCCAGAGCAAGCGCCCTTGGTGCTGGAGAAAGGCCTGGGGCAGAGGAGAGAGGAAATGCAGGTGCCAGAAACGGAAGGCTGGGAAGGGACTCTGCAGACTTTAGGGAACACAAGTGGGCTGGGGTACCAATGCGTCTGCCCCGTCCTCTTCAGACTTGCAGAGAAGCCATTCAAGCTCTTACAGCTTTCACGGCTATAGGAACATCAGTAAAGATATTATGATTTCCAGGGTAATGAATTAATCAATTGTGCTAACCAGAATTACAGATTTTATTTTATTTTATTTTTATTTTTATGTTTTTGAGACAGAGTTTCTCTCTTGTGGCCCAGGCTGGAGTGCAGTGGCACCATCGACTCACTGTAACCTCCACCTCCTGGGTTCAAGCGATGCTCTTGCCTCTGCCTCCCGAGTAGCTGGAATTACTGGCGCCCGACACCATGCCTGGCTAATTTTTGTGTTTTCAGCAGAGACAGGGTTTCACCGTGTTGGCCAGGCTAGTCTTGAACTCCTGACCTCAGGTGATCCATCCACCTCAGCCTCCCAAAGTGCTGGGATTACAGGTGAGAGCCACCGCGCCCGACCTGGAATTACAGATATTTTACAAAGAGATTTAATTTACTTTCACAGAACAAAGCAATGAGTGCTGGAGTCTGGGTATTGCACATGACTCCTTTGAATAAATAACACTTCCAAGGACAATTTCAGAGTAACAACACAGAATGCAGTGGTGACAGAAATGTTCACACCCATTTCCATGCCAGGCGGGAGAACAACTTTCTCGCTCTTGTGAGTGTTTCTTTGGGCAGGTTTTGACTACACAGCACGGCGTCTTCCCCCCTGCAGGGGCATGGGCGGAAGTGGGCATCTCCTCGCTCTTATCTTTCTGAGATTGCTTTCCGCTCCCTGCATTCCCAAGGGGAAGCACCGGCATTCCATTAGTTAGCCCGCAGAGGGAAGAGCAGGAACAGCTCCAGAATCGCACTGTGCCAAAGAAGGAAGAGAAGGCGAACAAATGGAATATAGGACATGGGATCTTCTTCTGGTGTGGTTCTTGGACCAGCAGCACTGGCATCGCCTGCGAGTTATCAGAAACGCAGAGTCTCAGGCCCAGCCCAGACCCGCTGCCTCCAAATCTGCATTTTAACCAGATCCCCAGGAGATTCCCAGACCCACCGCAGTTTGAGAAGCTCAGCTCTGTAGGACTCTCAGATTTCACTTTCTAAAACATTAATTTGATCATGCTATTACTTAGGTTAAAACCATTCCATAGTTCAGCATCAACTAATTTATTGGCTCCCAAACATTAACGTGCAGCCTGGGGCCCGGCTGGCTAAGTGAGCGTCACGTGGGCGACACTGTGGGACCACCCTCTGACTGAGCCAGGATCTCTGGGGGAGGCACATTGGAGCTTGCTTTTTTATCCAACCCCACGTGTTTCGTGTGCACATTCTAGGTTGAGAAGCGCTGGTCTCCTGCACCCCTGGCTGAGCTGGCACCAACCTGAACTCTCTTCTAAAGAGCTCACCACCCCCTTGGCACTCACCTGCCTTCTGCTCTTTCTAGCTCAACTAATTATGGGCCCTTTAAGAGAAGGAGCCAGGCGGGACCACTGTCATTACAAACACCAGTGTTGATTAAGCTCCAGCCACACATCAGGTGCTGTGCCAGGAGTGGGCACAGGTGACTGCCAACCCTCCCTGGAGCCCTGTGAAGTGGCTTTTACCAGAACCCCCATTTTACAAGAGGATAAGCTTTCAAAGCAAAGCTCAGAGAGGTTCACTGACTTGGCCAGTGTCACAGAGCTGGCCCAGGGCAGTACCAGCCTCCATACCCAGATCTGCCTTGTCAGGCACATCCTTAAACTCTCTTGCCATTCCCAGTTTCTTGCCCTGCACTGAGTGCACGGTGGGCTTACTGGTTGATTGACTTTCTCATGGATAGTTGGAGAACAGAGGCTTTCTTCCCTTCCAGAGCATGCCTGCCTCCAGGGCAGCCCCTGCCGCTTCTCATCTTCAGTACTTTCACCCACCCTGGCGATTAACTGGTCACTATAAATAGCACAAAAATATTAAAAGGGAAAAGCACACAGACGCAGACACACACACACGTACATGTGTGCCGCTTGAAATTAGAGCTGTAAAAAAAAAAAAAAAAAAGAAGCCAAGGAGTGCTCTGTGGAGAGAGCTGTGCTGTGCCTGCTGAGTCTTAGGGATAGCTGCCAGTCCTGCTTGCTTTCGGGTGTCGGGCTGGCTTGACACAGGATTATCCGCACTGTAGACATACCATTGACAGGCCCTGACAAACTGGGTCACTGACGTCAGCATGCCCACTGCTGCCCACGTTTCCAGTTCCAGAGCCTCTGCTGATCTCCCAGGCCTTCTGATCCCGTCCGTCTCTGCCGGGGGAACGGATGTGGTGTGAGCCGGCCAGGCCGGGGTGTGAAAGCAAGTGTGCAGGAGGGAGGCCAGGATGCTGGGCACACGGGCCTCTCTCTGGATGAGAGGATGTGAGTGGCCCTCTCCCCCAGCGCGAAGGAGACAGGCCCATCTGTGGTGGCCCCTCTGGAGGCCAGCCAGGTCTCTGCCCACCTTACATCCCACACAGCAGGGTCTAAGAAGACCAGAGAGAGAGAGACCCAGATGATGCAGCAGGAGGAGGCTGGGTCTTAGTTACTGGAAACGGATGCTGCCGTGAACAGACTTGAGCAAATTGAACAGCAGGACTTCCAGGTGTCCTGTAAGCCCCATCGCCCCGTTCTCACTGAACTAGATGGGGCTGGAATCTTTCTTTAGCTAGAACCGGTTCAGGCAGTGAGTCTGGGGTGAAAATGAGAAGACGGTGCTTGGAGATCCTTAGGCCCCATCTCCTATTTATAACCAGTTCGGGTTTTCTAATCACAGCATATGGCAATAACAAGCCCTGACATTCCCAACTTTTCTGTACAGCCCAAGTTCCCACTGGCCCTGCAGTGCTGTGGGGGACAGGCAGGGTGGAGGTGGGGGACGGCCAGAGGCTGAGAGTGGCCCAGCTGAGAGGCCCGCCTAGGGTGCAGTTCCACGCGTGACCTGCAGAGTCCCTGTCCGGATCGTAAGAGCCTGACTCGGGGAAAGGAGGGACCCCAGTACCTGGCACCTGTGACCAGCCCCTCTGTCTGCCTGCAGGTCATTGAGGACTGGAAGTACGTGGCTATGGTGGTGGATCGGCTGTTCCTGTGGGTGTTCGTGTTTGTGTGTGTCCTGGGCACTGTGGGGCTCTTCCTACCGCCCCTCTTCCAGACCCACACAGCTTCTGAAGGGCCCTAGGCTGCCCAGCGTGACTGAGGGCCCCCTGCGTTGTGGGGTAAGAGGATGTGAGTGGCCAGGTGGACAGTTTGCTGCTTCCTTCTGGGTTGTGGCTGATGAGGCCCTAAATAAATAGGTGACCATTGGCCATCAACCCCATCAAACCAGCCACAGCCATGGAGGAGGCAAGGATGGGGGCCTGGACTGTCCTCTCTGAATCCTCAGAGGGACCCCAGGAAGCCCCAGCAAGAGGGAGCTGCAGACACTTCGATTCCGCCGTGTCCTCCTTTCCTGCACCAGGCACCGGAGATGAAGATGCGCATTGTAGCAGCACCTACTATGCGCCAGGCATGATGCCAGCCTGCCTCTCCATCCCCATCTCCCTCTACTTCCCCTTGTCTAGTCCCTCACACACTTCTAGATTCTTCCCAGCTCAGAGGCTTGACATTTGCCATATCTTGTTATTTTTGAAACGGAGTCTCACTCTGTCCCCCAGGCTGGAGCGCAGTGGTGCGACCTCGGCTCACTGCAACCTCTGCCTCCCAGGTTCAAGTGGTTCTCCTGCCTCAGCCTCCCGAGTAGCTGGGATTACAGGCAGCCGCCACCACGCCCAGCTAATTTTTGTATTTTTGTTGGCCAGGGTGGTCTTGAACTCCTGACCTCAAATGATCTGCCCTCCTCGGCCTCCCAAAGTGCTGGGGTTACAAGCGTGAGCCATTACGCCCGGCTTGCCGTATCTTCTACCTGAACCTTTTCCCCCCAGGGCTTCCCAAACTCCACAGCCACATGAGTCAGGGCGTGGCTGCAATCCATCCTTTGCTGCAATGTCACCTCCTCTGAGAGGCCTTCCCTACACACCCAGTCATTCTAAAGCAGCCTCCCTATGGCCACGTTACCCTGCCACCTTCCTTGAGCACTCCTCGGTACCTGCCATCTTATCTGGTGGCATGTATGTCATCTACAGCTCACCCACTAGAGTGTGAGCTCCGTGAGAACGGACCTGCACCTTCACGTTCATGGTGGTATCCCTAGGGCCTAGGACAGAGCTTGGCACACAGCAGGTGCTCAATAAATGCTTGTTGAATGAATGAATGGCTCCTGTCCTCCTTCAAGCTCAGACGCCCGTCCTCTGAGCAGCGGTCCCCAGTTCCTCCATCTAAAAGGCATGGCCGCCGCCTCCACGCCGCTGCAGCGCCGGTTGCTTTCCACGCCTCTGTCACGGCTGGGTTCAGGTCGGTCTCCCACGCTGATGCTCTGACTCACTCCTCGCACGCACTACCTTTTGCACAGTGCCTGGCACGTAGTAGGCACTCAGAATATTTGTGGAAGGGAGGAGGACATTCTGAAAAATTCTATTTTTAAAATTATTATATAATAAAATTGACTTGTAAATATGTAGTTCTAGGAATTTTAACACATGTATAGATTGGGATAATCACCATCACAATCAGGACACATGGAAAGATCAGTCGCCCAAAACGACTCCCTCCTGCTATTCCGTTAGAATCCTGACTCCCTCCACGCCTAGCCCCTGGCAACCACACATCTTTTCTCTGTCACTACAGTTGGGTCCTTTCAAGAATGCCATTTAAATGGAATCACACTGTAGTGACCTTGGAGACCGGCTTCTTTCATTCAGCATAGTGCCTTCGAGATTCAATCAAGTTAGTTGTTTTTTGTTTTTTTGTATTGCTGAGGAGTATTCAGTTGTGTGATGTTGACGCACATTTAGGCTGTTTCCAGTTTTTGACAATTACGAATAGAGCTGATATAAAAATTCACATACAGGATTGTGTATGAATAAACGTTTTCATTTATTTAAACACTCAGGAGGGTGATTGCTAGGTTCTACAGTAAGCCCATGTTTAACTTTATATCAAACTGTTGAGGCCAGGTGTGGTGGCTCACACCTGGAATCCCAGCACTTTAGGAGGCCGAGGAGGCAGATCACCTGAGGTCAGGAGTTCAAGACCAGCCTCGCCAATATGGTGAAACCCTGTCTCTACTGAAAATACAAAAATTAGCTAGGCATGTTGGTGTGTGCCTGTAATCCCAGCTACTCAGGAGGCTGAGGCAGGAGAATCACTTGAACCCGGGAGGAAGAGGTTGCAGTGAGCCGAGATCACGCCATTGCACTCCAGCCTGGGGAACAAGAGCGAAACTCTCAAAAAAAAAAAAAAAAAAAAAGAAGGCAGGCAGGAAGGGAGGGAGGGACAGAGGGAGGGAGGGAAGGAGGGAGGAGAAACTGTTTTCTGGATGGCTGTACCATTTTGCAATCCCGCCAAAGTTGTTCAGCAGCTGGATTCCACCCTGCTTTTTAATTTGCATGTCCACGGTGGCTAGTGATTTGAACATCTTTCATGTGCTTTTTTTTGTCTTCTGTATACCTCTTTGGTAAAGAATTCTGTTTAACTCTTTTGCTCATTTAAAAAAAATGTTCATTTTCTTAACATTGAGTTTTTTTTAGAAAACAACTTTTTTTTTTTTGAGATGGAGTCTTGCTCTGTCACCCAGGCTAGAGTGCAGTGGCGTGATCTTGGCTCACTGCAACCTCTGCGTCCCGGGTTCAAGCGATTCTCCTGCCTCAGCCTCCTGAGTAGCTGGGATTACAGGTGCCTGCCACCATGCCTGGCTGATTTTTGTATTTTCAGTAGAGACAGGGTTTCATCATGTTGGCCAGGCTGGTCTTGAACTCCTGACCTTGTGATCTGTCCATCTAAGCCTCCCAAAGTGCTGGGATTACAGACATGAGCCACTGCACCCGGCCAGGAAACAACTTTATTGAGGTATAATTTACATGCCATAAAATCCACCCATTTTAAGTGTACAATTCAATGAGTTTTTGTAAGTTTATCACCAGACTCCAGTTTTAGAACATCTGCATCAACCCAGTAAGATCCCTCATATGCATCTACACTTACTGCTGAGTTTTGAGGGCTCCTTACACATTTTGGATACAAGCCCTTTGCTGGATGTATAACTTACAATGTTGTCCCAATGAGGGACATTTGCCAGGAAATGAGAATGCTCTAATTGGGAGCCTGAGAAGTGGGTACTAATTCTTACAAACATTTCCCATTCCACACACTGTCTTTTTTTGTTTGGTTTTAATACGGGTAGACAGCACATTCTGGAAGCAATAAAGGCAACTCGCCATTTGCTGAATGCCAGGCGGAGAGTTTATGACAGAACTTACCCCTATGATAAAGAGATGTCAAAGAAGCCAGCATCAAGGTGCCCCCATCCCTGGTGGGTGGTCAGTGAGGGCAGAAGGCTCCAGGGCCCCCTGCCTAGCCAATCAGTGCACATTCCTGGGGTTGCAGATGGTGATGGGGAAGGGGACAGAGGGATTCTGCAGGGGACTAGGGTGGGAACCCCAGTGCCCTCTCAGATTGCTCCATCAGAAGAGCAAACGAGGCATACACAGTGGCTCAGGTCTGTAATCCCGGCACTTTGGAAGGCCAGGGCAGGAGAATTGCTGAGCCCAGGAGTTCCAGACCAGTCTGGGCAACATAGGGAAATGCCCCTCTCCACAAAAATTAAAAATTTAACGACGCGGTGGCGCCTGCCTGTGGTCCCAGCTGCTCCAGAGGCCGAGGTGGGAGGATCACTTGAGCCCGGCACGTGGAGGCTACAGTGAGCCGAGATGAAGCCACCGCACAGCAGCCCTGGCGACAGGGTGAGACCTTGTCTCAGAAAAAGAAGAAAAAGAGCAAATGAAGCCTCATTTTAAATTCTGTCTTCTTTATCTTTAACTTTTCATTAAGCAACAATTCAAACACATTCTAAAGGAAAGCGAACAGCATACCAACCCCCTAGTTACCATCATCCTTCCTAGACAATTAGCAACTCACGGCCAGTGTTGTTTCGGCCGACTTCTACCCGCCCCTACACTATAAGGGCTTTAAAAAATACCGGTACGATATCTAAAATATTTAACAGTTACTTGACAGCGTGAAAATGCGAGAGGCCTCCTTCCCAGGGTGCGTTAGCGCCTCTCCTGCAGCGCCCGGCCCGGGGGTCCCAGCCCCGGCAGGAGCTGCGCACGCCCCGGAAGCCAGGGACAGAGGCTGGGCCCCTCGTTTTTCCTGGCGGTGGTGGCAGCACCTGCTCGGATCTGGCCGGGCGCCGCCGTCCGGAGCGACCCGCCCCGCGCAGAGCGAGTCCGCCGGGCGCCGGGGACTCGGGCCGGGAGCCCCTTCCCAAGGGCGCGCCCGCCGCGCCCGCCCCGCCCCACCCACTCCTGCGCCCGCGCCCGGCGCCGCTTGGCTCTGGGTGGTTCCTGTCCTCCCGCGGGTCCGAGGGCGCCGGAAGCCCAGCGGCGGCGAAGCGGAGAGGAGTCCCGCGCGTCCCGGCTCGCACGGCTCCGGGTCCGGGCTCTGGGCTGCAGCCGCACGGGGAGAGGCCGCCTCTGCGCCCGCCGCGCCCGCTCCGACCGTCCGAGTGCGCGGCACCGGCCATGGGCTCCCGCCCGCGCTCGCCGCCCCGGGCGCTGCCGTCGCCGCGGCTGCTGCTGCTGCTGTGTCTGCTGCCAGGTACGCGCACCGGCGTCAGGGCTCCGGAGGGGACTCGGAACCCGCGCAGACCCGCTCGCGCGCGGCGGCGACTTGGGCGGGGTGCCCTTTTCCCTTTCGGCTGACTCCCCGCCCCTAGCCACCGGCAAACCTGGGAGTCACTTGGCGGGCGCTGGTAGGCGCCGGGTGATGGGGAGGTCGGGACCGGGTCCTTCGTCTTGGGCGCAGGAACTGGGGGTTCGCGTCCCCGCGCTGCCGGTCGCCCTGCGCCGCGCACTGACTCCCGAACTGGCGCGCCCGGGCCATCCCGCCCACCTCCTCATTTGACGGACTGATGGGGAAACTGTAGCCAGAGAAGGCTAAAGACCTGGCCAAGGCCACCTCGGGGAGAGGGGAGTCGCCTCCGGACTGGGGCTGGAGCCGGCGCGCCAGCCTCTCCTCCGGTCCTCGCCCGGCGCCCCAGGCTGCGTCGCTGTGGGACCCTCCACCCGGACGGCGCCTCCCGCCTTCCTCCCGCTCTCCGGACCGGACTGCTGGGGGAAGCGGGCCCTGGCCCGCCGCTGGGAGGCTCTTGAGTGCCCGGGAGGGCTGGTGGATAGCGGGGGTCCGGGACCAGGCAGGGCTGCAGGGAGCTCCTGGCGGGCCGGGCCGGCGGTCTGCTGTGCGGCTGTGCGCCCAGAGCGCTTTCTGCCCTCGGTGCCGAGGCCTCCGCTATTCAGAACGCCACACGTTCCCAACTGAGCTCCTGCCTGGGACCCTCCTTTCACTCTGGGGAAGAGAAGGGGAAGAACAGGCAAAAATCGCATTTCAAGACCTGAGGAAGTTGGATTCAACTTCCCGGAGGGTTCTCCTCCCGCCTCCCCAAGCTGCCCCCAGATCTGTACGTGGAAGCTGGAAGACAGCCGACTCCGTGTGCCTCGCCTGTGCTGGGTGTGGCTTAGAAACAAAGAGGGGTGCCCAAGGGCTGCAGAGAGGTCGGAGTCGTTGATCAGGATGTGAAGACAGCATCAGCAAGAGCTGGGGGAGCGCACGAGATCACGGGAGCCACATAGCGTCTTGGCTTCTAAGAGGGCTGGTGGCCAAACCCCTACGGGATGGAAGGCAAGAGAGGCCCAGACGCCCACGCCGCGTTCTCCCAGAGACCTGGGCCTGGGTGACCATGACTGGCCCTGCCCCTGGTGGAGGGGGGGGGGGTTGGGGGGGGCGGCCATCTTTCCGTCGTGGAAGCAGGGAGTGGTTGTACCTAGGCAGACAGCATTTGCACCACATGCCCGCCCTGCAGTAACAACCCAGGAAAGGATCGCAAATAGTTGCTGAGCTCTTACCACAGCACCAAGCTGTGCACTTCCTTCTCAACACCCTTTGAGGTGGATACGTTTATAATCCTTATTTGGACTGATGAAGACACTGAGGTTCGGAGAGGTTAAGCCACTTGCCTCAGCTCACACAGCTCACGAGTGATTTGTCAGGATTTGCGCCGGATCTGCCCAGCTGCAGAGCCTGGGCTTGCAGCCTCTGCGCTTCTCACGGAATGTGTGTGACCTGGCAGACTCCCGCCCCTCTGGGGCCCGTTTCCCAGTCTGTAACCCACGGGGTAGGACTAGCCTGAACGTCTAGCGGTCCACAGAGCCCCCCACAGGTGGAGGAGACGCTGTCCATAGGCAATGTTGCTGGCGGGCTGGGCCGGGCAGGTTAAGCAATGATTCCCCCGTGGACTGACGAGGCTGCTTCCTCCAGGGGCCGGGGCCTCGGAGGCTGAGCACCGACTCTTCGAGCGGCTGTTTGAAGATTACAATGAGATCATCCGGCCTGTGGCCAACGTGTCCGACCCGGTCATCATCCATTTCGAGGTGTCCATGTCTCAGCTGGTGAAGGTGGTGAGTGCTGGAGCCGCGAGCCGTGGCCATGGGGGCCGGGGCTTCGGGAGGAGCCTTTCCCAGAATGAGCCTTGTTTTGGCGATTCTCCTGTCGACTTTAATCCCTTTTTCTAGGATGAAGTAAACCAGATCATGGAGACCAACCTGTGGCTCAAGCAGGTGAGGGACCAGACCCTGGGCACCGCTGCCCCCTGGTGGTGACTGCTTTGTTTGCTGTAGGTGAACCAAGCGGGGCGCACGGACCAGGCTTCATTCACGTCTGTGGAACCCAGATTGGGATCCGCTGACTGGCAGATCGCTCTCTTCTAAGGCTTGAGGCCACATGCACGGTCCTACAGCCCCCCTGGAAGGACCGTAGGGCCCGACCCCACACGTTCCAGATGGACAGGCTGCAGCCTGGAGAAAGACATTCTCCATGTTCACACAACAGGACTGAAGGAGCCCGAGCCCTGGGGTGGTCCTTGAGACGACCTCCTTCTCTCCTTCTTGCTAAAGACTCAGTTGGTTTTGTGGTTTTTTTTTTCCCCCGGACAGGATCTCGCTCTGCCACCCAGTCTGGAGTTCAGTGGCGCGATCTCGGCTCACTGCAACCTCCACCAGCAGGGTTCAAGCGGTTCTCCTGCTTCAGCCTACCAAGTAGCTGGGACCACAGGCGTGCGCCACCATGCCCGGCTAATTTCTGTATTTTTTACAGAGACAGGGTTTCGCCATGTTGCCCAGGCTGCTCTAGAACGCCTGAGCTCAAGCAGTCCGCCCACCTCAGCCTCCCAAAGTGCTGGGATTACAGGCATGAACCACTGCGTCCGGCCCAAAACCTCATTCTTAAGTCAGAATCAGACGCTGCTATTGTTGGTAGGGTGGGAGTAGAGTTTCCTGTTCAGATTGAGGCCAGGAAATGGCCTTCCATGCGTCCTCCTCAGGGACGCCGTGTCCAGACTTGCCAAGAGACGTAATGGCCCATTGGCCTGCTGGTGACCCTTCTGCAAGCCTGGCCGGCTGAGCACTCAGTACACACAGCCTTCATCCCCAGGAGGTTGCAGAGCCAGACGGGCACAGTGCCCCACCCAGTACCTGATTCACGTGCTCCCTCTGTGGCCACAGCCTCACCCCTTTCTCCTCTGGTGCTGAGGACTGAGACCCCCACCCTCCGCACCCAGACACCTCCTAGGCCCTGTGAGGATCATAGCTTCTTCCCCTAGAACCTCGCAGAGGCCAGCCTTGCTGAATCTTGGGGTGAAAGAGAGTTCTGTGTTGGAAAACACCCCTGGGAGAGCCATTTAGAGGCTGTAAACAGCAGGCACATGGACCTAGACCCAGTGCAAGGAGTCCAGGAGGCTCCTCCTGGCACTAGAAGTGGCCAGAGAAAGCTCCAGTAGGTCCTGTTTGGTTGATGAGGGGCTGGGCTTGCTCACAGTCCTGGGGGCAGTGGCTCCCCTAGTGCCAGGAGGCAGCCCACAGGCCCAGCCCTGTGGTCTCTGCCGCGCTGCACCCCCAGGAGAAGTTGAGCTATGTGATCACGGCATGGACGCAGCTTGGCCACATGCCACAGGGGTGGGGAGTCACCAAGATGGGTGGTGCCAAGAGAAGTAAAACTCGACTGATTCTGTGACTGTCTCCTCCCTCCCTGCTTCCTTCCCTGAGATCTGGAATGACTACAAGCTGAAGTGGAACCCCTCGGACTACGGGGGAGCGGAGTTCATGCGTGTCCCTGCCCAGAAGATCTGGAAGCCCGACATTGTGCTGTATAACAAGTAAGGTGCCAGGGGGCCCGTGCTCTCTCAGGGCTGTCAGCCTGGGCTCCGGGTCCTTGGCTTTCCTGGTTTAAAACCTGGCCTTCCTTGGCCTTTTCTAAGAGAGATTCATTCATTTCTTCATTCAACAGGTATGTATTCAGCAACTACTATATACCAGGCACCAGAGATGCCGGTGAGCCACAGACAGCAGCAGTGTGCTGAGTAGCTTCAAAGGAGGCCGTGAGTGGGCGGAGGAGGGCATCGGGAAAGCTTCAGGGAAGAATTAGCATTTGAAGTGAGTCCTGAAGATCTCAGGACAGGGAGATGGAGCAGAGGAGGGCCCAGGAAGGCAGGAGAGTATGTCGTGGGCAGCCAAGGTGACCTCATTGGCTGGACTGTGGGACATAAGGCTGGGAAGATCCATGGGCCAAGGACCAACCATGATGTGTGGTGGGGGAAGGCTGAGAAGCTGGGGGCTCCTGGAATGCCGCATCTGTTAGTGGCTCTGTGCAAATAGACATGAAGGGAGTAAACGGTTCCTCTTCGCCTTTTCTTTGGAAGAGAATGAGGGTGTTGGAGAAGATCGTGGCCTGAGCTGTGTGATCCTAGAGTTCCCAGCCTGCGGACTGGCACCGTTACTAAGGACAAGGAGCTTTTTTTGAGACTGAATCTTACCCTGTTGCCCAGGCTGGAGTGCGGTGGTGCGATCTCAGCTCATGGCAACCTCCGCCTCCTGGGTTCAAGCAATCCTCCTTCCTCAGCCTCCCGAGTAGCTGGGATTACAGGCATGTGCCACCACGCCTGGGTAATTTTTGTATTTTTTGGTAGAGATGGGGTTTTGCCATGTTGGCCAGGCTGGTCTCGAACTCCTGACCTCAAGCAATCTTGTCTGCCTCGGCCTCCTAAAGTGCTGAGATTATAGGCGTGAGCCACCGTGCCTGGCCCCAGTGAGCTTTTTAAGAATACAGGTGCTTGGCCAGGTGTGGTGGCTCACACATGTAATCCAGCACTTTGGGAGGCCTTGATGGGTGGTCACCTGAGGACAGAAGTTCAAGACCAGCCTGGCCAACATACCAAAACTCTCTGTACTAAAAATACAAAACAAATGAGCCAGGCATGGTGGCACGTGCCTGTAATCCCAGCTACTCCAGAGGCTGAGGCAGGAGAATCACTTGAACCTTGGAGGCGGAAGCTGCAGTGAGTTGAGATCAGGCCACTGCACTCCAGCCTGGGTGCAGTGACAAAAAATACAGGTGCCGACACTCAAAATATTTTCTTCTTTGTTCTTCATTGTCTTTTCTAAAGCTAATCAGTATTACATTATCCAAACAATCTCTATGCCTGACCCCAGGTCCCGCCCCACAGAAACAGAGCCCGTGGGTCTGGGTGGGCCTAGGAATGGGTGTTTTCACAAAGCTGTCCTGGGGGCTGTGTGACCAGCTTGCTTCGGGGATTCCTGATCTGGCCCGTCCCTGACATTTCACAAATCAGAACCGAGACCCAGAGTGGGTGTGTGGCACAGCCAGGCCTGGGGCGTTCTCTGCCATCCACTGTGGCTTTGGGGCCGCTGTGGGCCATGGATGCAGGAGGCTGATGCTGTGATCAGGGGACTGAACTGGGCACCCCAGCCTGTCTCCACCTATGTCCTCAAACCTCTACTCGCCCAGCAGCAAACCTACCATAAGACAGTTACCCTGTTACAGTTGCCCTCCAGGTCTCCTCTCCCTGGGGAAAGGTCTGGGCCTTGGAGAAAGGATTGATGGCCCCCCAAGTATGTCAAGTGGGGTTCCCATGTACAGGCTAGGGCAAGCTTTCTGGGCCCTGTGCTCCCAGCCCATCTGGGTGGCTGCATCCAGGTCGCATTTCGAAAGGACGAGTCTAGAACGAAAAAGACATCCCTGGCTCCTGCCGTCTAGGGAAGCTGCTCTCTGGCCGGTCCCTCACGGGGGCCCCTTCCAGTCTCCTCTGGATCCGGGACACGCATCTTCCTGCCGCTTTTGGGAGGCCTCTCCTCTTTCTGTCTTGCAAAGGTTCTTCCTCTGCCAGGCTGGTCCTGCTCATCATCGCACCTCCGAAACACTTTTTTTTCTTTAAATCCACACGAAACTGATACTTTCCACCTTTAAGCTCTTTCACTGGACTGACGTCGATTTTAAGTGATATTTTACAGTGTGCTCATTCGTCCTAGGTGTTGAAGGATATCACTTTTGAACCTGTGCTCTATTTTTAGATAAACATTTAAACAGTTTTCAGCAAAACACTTCATGTAGAATGAGTCTATTCTGATTTTAATGCCTAAAAATATGTTTAGATTTTTATGCCACATTAGTATAAAATAACGTTTTCTATTAGTATGAGTCGTTTTTACAATTAGCATCAGGACTGGAGATGCTGTGTTTCATGCTGAATCTTACTTTTTGGTCTCTGGCAAAAACAAAAGGGGGTCTTAACTCACTGCAAAGACAGTCCATGTTTAATTTACTATTTTCCCAAGGAAACACGCCACTTATAATATGGTGTGTGTTTGTTTTTTTGAGATGGAGGCTCACTCTATCACCTAGGCTAGAGCCCAGTGGTGCAACCTCGGCTCACTGCAACCTCTGCCTCCCAGGTTCAAGCAATTCTCTGCCTCAGTCTCCCGAGTAGCTGGGATTACAGGCACCCACCACCACACCCAGCTGATTTTTGTGTTTTTAGTAGAGACAGGGTTTCACCGTCTTGGCCAGGCTGGTCTTGAACTCCTGACCTCGTGATCCACCCTCCTCGGCCTCCCAAAGTGCTGGGATTACAGATGTGAGCCACTGCGTCTGGCCAAATATGTTATTTCCATATAATTTGTATTTGTAAGCTGGTCGTCAAAGAACTGGGGCACAATATAAACTTAACTGGCTTGCAGATTATTTTTTCTTACACTGTGAATTGTCGTAGGAATCGCATGGTTCAAATGCTCTTAAGGGAAGCGGGCAGGGTGTAGAGAATTTTTGTTAAGCTAGAATTAAGAAAATGAGCCCAAATTTTAATCTTATGTTTTGGGTTTTATAGCCATTTTCTTGCTGGCAATCTTGAGTGAACAGCTGGAGTACTATAGGATGTATGGTTTTAGCAATAACGGCAGGCATAGTGAAATGCTTCAAATTGGATGTGGAGAGGAGAAAATTTCATAAGGAATCTCCTTGAAATCCGAAGCTGAAAATAACATTTAGAGAAAATCATCCAACTCATTTTCTCTCTCTTCTCCTAGTTAGACCTTCAGTTGCTCAGGATTGACCCTCTGTTAAGGATTTCTCTTCATTTTTTAACACAATACCAAAATTTCTCCTATGATATTTTGTTTTCTACAGTTCATTTGCTGATAGTCCTCAAAGTGTTCATGAACACTGTATACTCTGCATTCTCTGAAGTTCATAATTCATTGTAACCCTTTTAGAGAATACTTTTAAGAAACTTGGCTAGGTGTAAAATTCTTGGCTTCTCTGATCCTTTTATGAAAAAAAATTTTTTTTGAGACAGAGTCCCAGATAGAGGCAGAGATTCCACTATTCACCCACCTCAGTCTCCTGAGTAGCTGGGCTTACAGGTCATACCACCATGCCTGGCTAATTTTTTGTATTTTTAGTAGAGACGGGGTTTCACCATGTTGGCCAGGCTGGTCTCGAACTCCTGACCTGAAGTGATCTGCCTGCCTCGGCCTCCCGAAATGCTGGGATTACAGGTGTGAACCCCCACATCTGGCCTGCTTATTCTTATATTTCTTCTGTTTTTATTTCTAAAATAATTTTTTTTCCTTTTTCCTAATTCTTTAAATTCTTCTAGTTCTTTACACATTCTGTTGTTTCACCAGATGATCCCTTATCTTTTCTGATTTCTGTGGCTCTTTCACAGTTTCTAAAAATTTCTTAGTTTCTTTTCACTTAATTTGTAATATCAGATTGTTATCGTCCGCTCCATCTGCTTGGTGGCTCTGTCTTTGTAGCCGCTGTTATCTGCGTGTGTGTTACTTAGTTACTTGTTTTCGTATTTTTCTCTTACCATATGTTTTCATAAGGCTCCCTTGCTCTTGTCGAAATAAATGGCCTTATTGTGCTTTTACGGCGAGTTCCTGGAGGGAATGGGAGAAGATGGGTGGCTACCGTGAGGTGACACTGGTCTCTCTGCATGGTCACCTCCACAGTCTCCATAGTCCTGACACCGTGGTGTGCTCAGTCACGGCACCTCCACGAGCTGCCGCCTCTGGACGCTGGCCTCAGTTTCTGAACCTTCTTTATCCTCTCACCCCTGCTTTCTTACCCCATTGAGTTTGGATCCTACAAAGGCAGCTTTTTCTCTGAGTGGGTCCCTGTCCTCCGGCAGGGAGGTTTTGGGAGGCGTTTCTGACTTCCTCAAGAGCCCACGCCAGCCCTGACCGACCTCTGCAGACCGTAAGTGGATTCCCACGGGCTTTTTAAATTCTTGCCCACACACTGGAACCTGCGGAGCCCTGTCTGTTCCATTGTTCCCCTTGCTGAACATTCAACGCAGAGTGCGGTCCTCATCTTTTGAGGGGCAGCCACTTCTTGGAGACGTCTGCGTCTGGCACTCTTAGGCTCCTAGGACATGAGGACCCTTCTTTCTTCTCCCCCGGCTGCCTCTGCCCGGCAGCTGATCGCACAGCAGAGGTGGGAGGGAGCTGAGCAACGTCCTGCCAAACCATGCGGGGCAATTAAAACCATGACCCAAAATGAGTGTGGATGCAAATGAGCCGGGGTGCCGCTGCCCAACGGGGCGTTTAAGAACAGCAGTGGGTTCAGCGGGCCCCACAGGTCCTGCTGGCGGTGCTGGTCTGACCGCACACCCTCAGGTCCCGAGGCGCTGCGTCGGGACTTGGTTGTGATGTGATCAGATTTGTTATTTTGCCGTCACCCCAGTTGCCCTATTTTTCTGAAGAAATTTAGAGAGATTTAAAAAACCCGTGCCACCATGATCTTCCTCGGAGCCCTCACCACCCTGCCCCCAACTTCTGTTCTTAAATGCCCCCTGCATGGCAGGGGTACCTCAGCTGATCATTCGCACCCACGCCACCTTTTCTACTTGCCTCACATGGTTTGGCAGTACGTTGCTCCAGCCCCTCCCACCTCTGCTGTCCCTTGCTGCCAGCTGTCTCTGGGTGTGATATTTATTTATTTAGACAGAATCTCACTCTGTCACCCAGGCTGGAGTGCAGTGGCACCGTCTCAGCTCACTGCAACTTCCACCTCCTGGGTTCAGGCAATTCTCCTGCCTCAACCTCCCGAGTAGCTGGGATTACAGGCGCACAGCACCATGCCCAGCTAATTTTTGTATTTTTAGTAGAGATTGGGTTTCATCATGTTGACCAGGCTGGTCTCAAACTCCCGACCTCAGGTGATCTGCCCATCTCGGCCTTCCAAAGTGGTAGAATTACAGGCGTGAGCCACTGCTCCCGGCTTTCATTTATTTTTTGGAAATTCGTTAGGTCAACAAATATTTACCAAGTGCCCTGTATGTGGCCGGCGCTGTGCCAGACCCCAGTCCCGAGCTGGGTCTGCGTGTTCTCTGTCTCCTGTTAGCAGAGATATGATGGTCGACACGGCCCCAGGCAGAACACAGGCCTTCTGATCTAGGCAGACACACCCCAGGGGTGCTGTGGGCAGCAGCCGCAGTGACCAGGATCCCCAGAAATGAGCGTCAGCCAAGCGTAGCTAACGTCCAGTGTCTGTTCTCTGGACACATGCACACATTTCCGTGTCTCCTTACTTGGGGACCCAAGTTCTGAATGGCCAATGTTCTGCCATAGATTCTCTGTGGGGTCTCGAAGAAATCATTCCTGTCCTCTGAGCCTCAGTTTTCTCTTTGGCAAAATGAAGGCACTGGACTAGAGCAGGGGCTAGCAAATGTTTTCTCTAAAGGGCCAGAGAATAAGTATTTTAGGCGTCGTGGATCGTAAAGTCACGGCCACAGCTATTCCCCTCTGACCTCGGAGCTCAATAGTAGCCATAGATAATAGACAAGAAAGGGCAATGCATTCTTCCCCCCACATTTTCTTTACAGAACTAGGGCCACAGCTTCCCAGTCCCTGGACTAGACCCTGGGCTCTGAGGCTCCCTTGCCACTCTGACATTCTGCTGATCCGGGATGCTGGGGGCATTGGTTCCGGCGGGCTCTGCCTTCCCCAGGGTCTTCCCAACCTTCTGCTTAGCCCAGCACTCTCCGGGGCCCCTCCATGCTGAACACGGGTCAGTCCACCTGGGGGGGTGTGGATATTCACCTCCACCCCACCCCATACCTCTCCCTTTTTCCTGGAGCCGGGAGCTAGGGATACTCTTGTATGGAATTAAGGGCATGGTGGGAGGGAAGTGGGGGCTAAGGATGTATAAACAGCAGGGCGCCTTTGGGGGCAAACCAGCTAACCAAAGGAAAGCTAGGTAGTGGCTTTGTCATTGAGCCTTCATGGGTGATGATCGTCCTGCTCAACCGAGGCCCAGGAGAGACTAGCAAGGAAGAAGGATGCGCACCAGAACAATCCCCTTGTGTTTTCACGGGTTCCCATCCAACATGAGCAGCACAGGGATTCCCTCAATGTTTAGGCTTTGTCATTGCTCTTCAGCTCTTCAGGTACAAGGCAAAGGAGTCTGGCGGTTGCTCCCTTTGAAGGTGTAAATGCCTTCACAAGGCTAAGAAACTCAATAGGGCTGATCCCAGGAATGTGCCCGAGCCTCCTGGGCAGGCAGGCTGTTGTGGAAGCAACCCGCCTTGCTCTCAGCGGGCCTCATCTGGCCATCGCAGACGGAATGCCCACTGCACGACTCAGCAGGGACCATCATCAGTGGATCTTCTGTCGGACAAACCTACAAGGCCATTCCTAGAAAAATGTTCATTTCTAAGGCCGGGCGGTGGCTCAAGCCTGTAATCTCAGCACTTTGGGAGGCTGAGATGGGCAGATCAGTCAAGGTTGGGAGTTCGAGACCAGCCTGGCCAACATGATGAAACTCCATCTCTACTAAAAATACAAAAAGTAGCTGGGTGTCATGGCACATGCCTGTGATTCCAGCTACTCAGGAGGCCAAGGCAGGAGACTCACTTGAACCCGGGAGGCAGAGGTTGTAGCGAGCTGAAATCACTACTGCACTTTAGCCTGGGCAACAGAATGAGACTCCATCTCAAAAAAGAAAAAGAAAGAAAGAAAAATGTGGATTTCTATGTGAATATAAAGTCAGGGTACACATAGTGAAAAGGAAGGGAGAAGAAACATGGGTGGAAAATGGGGACAGATAGTGACGCTGAAAGTGAAGAGACCTGTCATGGTGAATTTGAAAGACTCGAGGAAGCAAGAACCGTGATTACCGTAAAACAGTGCTGGGAAGAGTGGTGGGGAGGGGTGGCAGTACGAGGAATGGTCCAGTCAGGGTCCAGAGAGAGGGTTTAGAAATCGTAAACCCATCTGAAGAGGTTCGGTTTAATGGGAGTGGGCTCCCACGGGTGGTCTGTGCAGCCCCTTCCAGCTCCACAGTCTTGTTTCACACGTGCTTCCGGCACCCAGTGCAGACTGAATGAGGAGAGGGCCAAACCTCAGGAACCCTGGGTGGCAAATAGTCCCAAAGGTTGCTTCAGCGCCAGGCTCCAGGAGGATAACCTTCATCCCATGTCTTTAACTAAAGGGGGAAAGGCCGGGCGCGGTGGCTCATGCCTGTAATCCCAGCACTTTAGGAGGCTGAGGTGGGCAGAACACAAGGGTAGGTGTTCGAGACCAGCCTGGCCAACGTGATGAAACCCCTTCTGTACTAAAAATGCAAAAGTTAGCCAGGCATGGTGGTGGGTGCCTGTAATCCCAGCTACTCGGGACACTGAGACAGGAGAACTGCTTGAAACCGGAAGGCAGAGGTTGCAGTGAGCTGAGATTGCACCCCTGCGCTCCAGCCTGGGCAGTGAGCGAAACTCTGCCTCTAAATAAATAGATAGATCAAAATAAAAAATAAAGGGGGAAAAATCCCCTTTGGGGCTTTGGGAGTCTCTGTCTACCTATCAGTTTGGGAGCTGTGTTGTGGGATGCACTGGTGGCATTGTTGTTGGGGACGGAGCTGGGCCTCAGTATCCCCACTGGTAAATGGGCCTGGGATTCAGGTGACGGTTTATGGCACTTTCAGCTCTCATCCTCCACTGCTTTCCAAATCATTATCATGAGAAGCTGGACGAGTTGACCACTGCATGTGCAAGTGTTGATGGCCCCGTGTCACGGTGCCCCTGCTTGTCATGCCCAGGTGTTGACGGCCCCGTGTCACGGTGCCCCTGCTTGTCACGCCCAGGTGTTGACGGCCCCGTGTCACGGTGCCCCTGCTTGTCACGCCCAGGTGTTGACGGCCCCGTGTCACGGTGCCCCCGCTTGTCACGCCCAGATGTTGACGGCCCCGTGTCACGGTGCCCCCGCTTGTCACGCCCAGGTGTTGACGGCCCCGCGTCACGGTGCCCCTGCTTGTCACGCCCAGGTGTTGACGGCCCCGTGTCACGGTGCCCCTGCTTGTCACGCCCGGGCGTTGATGGCCCCGTGTCGCCCCTGCTTGTCTTTGCAGTGCCGTTGGGGATTTCCAGGTGGATGACAAGACCAAAGCCTTACTCAAGTACACTGGGGAGGTGACGTGGATACCTCCGGCCATCTTCAAGAGCTCCTGCAAAATTGACGTGACCTACTTCCCGTTTGATTACCAGAACTGCACCATGAAGTTCGGTTCCTGGTCGTACGACAAGGCGAAGATCGACCTGGTCCTGATCGGCTCCTCCATGAACCTCAAGGACTACTGGGAGAGCGGCGAGTGGGCCATCATCAACGCCCCGGGCTACAAGCACGACATCAAGTACAACTGCTGCGAGGAGATCTACCCCGACATCACGTACTCGCTGTACATCCGGCGGCTGCCGCTCTTCTACACCATCAACCTCATCATCCCCTGCCTGCTCATCTCCTTCCTCACGGTGCTCGTCTTCTACCTGCCCTCCGACTGCGGCGAGAAGGTGACGCTGTGCATCTCGGTCCTCCTCTCCCTGACGGTGTTTCTCCTGGTCATCACTGAGACCATCCCGTCCACCTCGCTCGTCATCCCCCTGATCGGAGAGTACCTCCTGTTCACCATGATCTTCGTCACCTTGTCCATCGTCATCACCGTCTTCGTGCTGAACGTGCACTACCGAACCCCGACGACACACACGATGCCGTCCTGGGTGAAGACCGTGTTCCTGAACCTGCTCCCCAGGGTCATGTTCATGGCCAGGCCGAGCAGCAGCGAGGGCGGCGCGCGGAAGCCGAGGCCCCTGTACGGCGCCGAGCTCTCAAATCTGAATTGCTTCAGCCGCGCAGAAGGCAAAGGCTGCAAAGACGGCCCCCCCTGCCGGGACGGGGTGTGCGGCCGCTGCCGCCACCGCAGGATCAAAATCTCCAATTTCAGTGCCAACCTCACGAGAAGCTCCAGTTCCGAATCGGTGGACGCTGTGCTGTCGATCTCTGCTTTGTCACCAGAGATCAGAGAAGCCATCCAAAGTGTCAAGTACATTGCTGAAAATATGAAGGCCCAAAACGAAGCCAAAGAGGTAAGGACGTGGCTATCAATACGCTGGCCATCCATTCGTGATTCAGCAGACATTCATGGGTTCTTTGCGGGGCAAGGTTTAGAGTGGGGCTTAAGAAATTAGACTCCAGGGTCAGCGGCCTGTGGTAAGACAGTTATATGTCCTTGGGCAAGTTGCCTTGACTTTCTGAGCCTGTTTTCTCATCCTTAAAATGGGACGAGAAAGCTCGTAGCATGTGGTGCCCTGAAGTGGGCTGCACCCTGAAAACACCTGATGCCAGGAGAGCAGCGTCGAGGCTGGGAAAGGGCATGGGGCCAGGCGACCTCCAGTTACTATTGGTTAACTGAGGTCAGAGTTTTATTTTTACTTTATTTTTATTTATTTATTTATTTATTTATTTATCGAGACACACGCTCACTCTGTTGTCAGGCTAGAGTGCAGTGGTGCAATCTCGACTCTCTGCATCCTCCACCTGCTGGGTTAAGTGATTCTCCTGCCTCAGCCTCCTGAGTAGCTGGGACTACAGGCATGAGCCCCCATGCCCAGCTAATTTTTCTATTTTTAGTAGTGAGGGCATTTCACCATGTTGGCCAGGATGGCCTTGATCTCTGACCTTGTGATCCACCTGCCTTGGCCTCCCAAAGTGCTGGGATTACAGGTATGAGCCACCGCACCTGGCCAATTTTTATTTATTTATTTTTGAGACAGGGTCCTGCTCTGTTGCCCAGGCTGGAGTGCAGTGGAGCCATCTTGGCTCACTGGAGCCTCTGCCTCCGGGATCAAGCGATTCTCCCACCTCAGTTTCCTGAGTAGCTTGAACTGCAGATGGCCCACCACCATGCCCTAATTTTTTACATTTTTTTGTAGCGATGGGGTTTTGCCATGTTGCCCATGCTGGTCTTAGACTCCTGGACTAAGCTCCCCGGTGAGCATGCCAGTCAGTATCTTCCTCCCTGCTTCATGCCCACCATCCTGGCTTGTGCTCAGTGGCTCACAACTGTAATCCCAGCACTTTAGGAGGCCGAGGCAGGTGGATGGCTTGAGATCATGAGTTCAAGACCAGCCTGGGAAATACGGTGAAACCCCATCTCTAACAGAAATACAAAAATTAGCCAGGCACGGTGGCACGTGCCTGTAGTCCCAGCTACTCAGGAGGCTGAGGTGGGAGGCTCACTGGAGCCCAGGAAGCCAAGGTTACAATGAGCCATGATCATGCCACTGCACTTTAGCCTGGGTGACCCAGTGAGGTCCTTTCTTAAGTTAATTAATTAATTTTAAAAAGAACCATTATCCTGACTTCTTTGATATTGATTAGTTTTACCTAGTTTTTTTCTTTTGTTTTGTTTTGTTTTTTGAGAGGGAGTCTTGCTCTGTCACCCAGGCCAGAGTACAGTGGTACAATCTCTGCTTACTGAAACCTCTGCCTCCCAGGTTCAAGCGATTCTCCTGCCTCAGACTCCCGAGTCGTTAGGATTACAGGCATGTGCGACCATACCCAGCTATTTTTTAGTAGAGACGGGGTTTTGCCATTTTGGCCAGGCTGGTCTTTAACTCTGTCCTCAGGTGATCCGCCCATCTAGGCCTCTCAAAGTGCTGGGATTACAGGTGTGAGCTACTGCGCCTGGCCAGTTTTACCTATTCTTGAGCTTCATATAAATGGAATCACATAGTATATAAACTCTTACGTGTCTGACTCCGTTCATTGAACATAATATCTTGAGGTTTTTGTTTCTGTTTCTTTGTTATTAGTGTGTAATTCTCCACAATATGACTATAATACTATCTTCTGTTTATTTGTTTTACATTTGTTGGACATTTAGTTATTTCTAACTTGAGGCTATTATGAATAAAACTGCTACAAACATTTATGACTTCTGGTGAATGTATGTGCTCATTTCTCCTGGATCTATACCTAGGAGTGGAATTGCTGGATCATTGGCCTCAGCCTCCTGGGTAGCTGGGACTACAGGCGCGTGCCACCACACCCAGCTACATCCTGTATTTTTAGTAGAGAGGGGGTTTCACCATGTTGGCCAGGATGGTCTCGATCTCTTCACCTTGTGATCCACCTGCCTTGGCCTCTCAAAGTGCTGGGATTACAGGTGTGAACCACCGTGCCCAACCTTATTATTATTATTATTTTTAGGTGGAGTTTCACTCTTGTTGCCCAGGCTGGAGTGCAGTGGTGTGATCTCGGCTCACCACAACCTCTGCCTCCCGGGTTCCAGCGATTCTCCTGCCTCGGCCTCCAAAGTAGCAGATTACAGGCATGTGCCACCACACCTGGCCAATTTTTTATTTTTGAGACAGGGTTTGACTACATAGGTCAGGTTGGTCTCAAACTCCTGAATTCAGTTGATCCATGCGCTTCGGCCTCCCAAAGTGCTGGGATTACAGGCATGAGCCATCGTGCCCGGCCCATTTTTTTGACTGAACTTACTTCTGTTTTCTCCATAAACCTTGGGCTTGAACTTAAGAACGGGGAACTCATGTCAAGTACTAAGAACAGGAAAGATTGACACTAAATAATGTCACGTGCCTGGTTATTCCATGTTACCAGGATCACACTCGACGACTTTATGAGAAGCTCTGCTTTAAAATTAAGTGTCTCTGCCTTAAGTTGTTTATCAGCAAGGAGCTAATTACCAGGTAACGTTATCTCTTGACCCACTGTAGGTAATTAATATTGATAAAGTATGTCCGTTTCATTGTAATGGAGCCTCTTTTCTTCAGCTGTGGCAGGCGTACCACAGTGGCTGGGACAGGAGGGAGGCAGCCACAGCCGCCCCTACCTCCTCACCCCCACTCATCAGAGCAACTGTGAGCATGTCTTGTGACCGTAATGGCGCAAAACCTCCAGCTGATCCCAGTAATTTAGCGGAAGAGTCAGGCATTTCTTTAAATTCAGTCAAAGTAGTTGTTGGACATCATAAGCAATTACAAGTAAATGATCAGTGAAAATCTATTTGTCTAATACTGGTAATTTTGCAAACATTCTTTATCCTTCACCTGCTTTAAAAATTATTCACTAAAGGTCGAGATCTAAGTACCCATACTCTATCCTCCTTTGTCAGGCTATTAGAAATTACTTGTATTCTAAAAATTATTTATTAGATACCATACAAGGAGTTAGAGTTTCAGAAGGGCCTAAGGCACAGAGACAGACATATAAAAAACTTACAATTAAAAGAGAGGTCATAAACTTAAATACAAGGCAGATAGATTGGTGAAATGGCCTGAATTCAGCGATAGGGAGTGGTGGGGTCTGTGGCAAACTGACGGCACATGGTCCGTCTCAAGGGGCAGCTACTGCTCACCTCTGGTCATGTTTCCACATGGGCATATGAGCCCATTATTGCTGGATTTTCCAGTTTTTTTTTTTTTTTTCAGAGAAGGCAGAAATCTGGCCAGCAAGCCACCAGATTGTCTATGAGAAAGCAGCACGTGTTGGGGAAAGTGGAGCTGTCGGAAGGATTCCCTTTCCCTGAGTGACTTTTACACAAAGTGTTTCAGAGATATGTTAATTTCCTGCATCTCTGGCTCCAGCTTGGCTGGTTTTAACTGGCCCTGGCTCTGAGGAGCCTAGACTGAAGCCCAGGCTGTTTTCCCAGAGCATCTCCTGCGGGCGCTGGGAGCCTGTCAATGACACACTCTGGCTCCTAAGGTCGGGGAAGTGTTCAGCCTTCCTGGCTGTTCTTTTTTAAAAAAATTGTTCACACCAAGAAGCAGCTTCTCCCCTGCTTCTTGAATCTCCGCCTGGTTCAGCCAGCCTGCCTCCACTCCAGCCTCCACCGTGTCCATCAGGGTGACCCAGAAGTCCAAAGGGTGTCCACTTCTGGTCCCCGGGCCTTCAGCAGCTGCTCATACACAAGTGGGCCCGGTGCCCGCATCGGCTCCTCCAGCTTCTCCTGAGTGGGCAGCAGCAGCTTCCGGGGTGGCCTAGGTGGAGGCTGTGGCGGGACCAGCAGCATGGGCCTGGGCGGTATCACTGCCATCACGATCAACCAGAGCCTGCCGAGGCCCCTTAACCTGGAGGTGGACCCCAGCATCCAGGCTGTGCGCACCCAGGAGAAGCAGCAGATCAAGACCCTCAGCAACAAGTTTGCCTCCTTCACGGACAAGGTGCAGTTCCTGGAGCAGCGGAACAAGGCGCTGGAGACCAAGCGGAGCCTCCAGCCGCAGCAGAAGACGGCTCAGAGCCACGCGGACAACACGTGAGAGAGCTAAGTGGCAACAGCTGAGACTCTGGGCCGGGGAAGCTGAGGCTGGAGGCGGCGCTTGGCAACAGGCAGGCGCTGGTGGGGAGCTTCAGGAACAAGTAGGAGGATGAAGTCAATCAGCGAACGGAGATGAGAGTGAATTTGCCCTCATCGAGAAGGAGGCAGATGGAGCGTCCATGCACAAGGTGGAGCTGGAGTCTCCTGGAAGGGCTGATGACGATGCCGACCTCCTCAGGCAGCTGTGTGACGAGGGGACCCGCGAGCTGCAGCCTGATCTCAGGCGTGGCTGTGGTGCTGTCCACGGACAGCAGCCGCTCCCTGGACACGGACAGCGTCATCGCTGAGGTCAAGGCGGCACGAGGACATCACCAACCTCAGCCGGGCGGAGGCCGAGAGCCTGCACCAGGTCAAGTACGAGGAGCTGCAGACGCCGCCTGGGAAGCACAGGATGACCCGCCGCGTGCAAAGACTGCGATCTCCGAGATGAACCAGGACGTCAAGCGGCTCCAGGCTGAGACTGAGGGTCTCAAAGGCCAGAGGGCTTCCCTGAAGCCGCCGTCACGGATGCTGAGCAGCGCGGGGAGCTGGCCATTACGGATGCCAATGCCAGGCGGTCCGAGCTGGAGGCCGCCCTGCAGCGTGCCAAGCAGTCCATGGCACAGCAGCTGCGTGAGCACCAGGAGCTGATGGATGCCAAGCGGGCCCTGGACTTCGAGCTCACCACCTGCAACCATAATTTACCTACTAAAGGTTTTGAAGGCCCTTGGTCTTATTTAACCGAAATGTCTAAGTTATAGTCAG